TTCTGTGACTCACTCATTTATTCATTGTCTTTTATATTTCATTCCTACATAATTTACACATCTAACAACAATTCAAAAAGCCCTATTCCATCCATATATTTGTTTAGAAAATCAGAGAAGCTAGCATCTCCATTTAAGATGACAAAATGTTTGTGGCACTGACGACAAATATCACATACAGTTTATTTCCAAAATAGCTTATCCATTGAAAATTGTGCATTTAAGAATTAATTTATTAAATCCACAGTGTTACTCAGCCAAACAAATATTGACATGATGCATCATCACAATATGCTCTCAATAACAGTTTTTACATTGCTAACGGGTTTTGCCAGAAAATCAGAGATCTATGCCAAAAACTGGCTCTGTGTTTGTCTGCCAACCTTGGCCGGTATTTTATGTGCAGTGACAAAATTACCACATCCTCTATATAGCAAAGCAGATAATAGAGCCATAAACCTACTTCTCAAATGTTCGCAATTCTGTTATAAATGTGTGTGTGTGTGTATATATACTGAAAGAGTCTATGAGTGTTTATGGAGATTACTGAATGTTAAACTTCTCAAGCAAACTGAGATCACAGGAATGTTCAAGAGCAAGCTGGAGGACCCTTCCAGAAGTATCTTGTTTTTTAAAAGATTTTTATTAAAATATAGCTAACATACAATATTATACTAGTTTTAGAGGTACACCATAGTCAGTCAACATTTATATACTTAGAGAAGTGATCACCAGGCCGGGCGAGTGGCGCGTTAAGAGCTGGCTTGGGACACCAGAGGGCCCGATTCGGATCCCACATATGAGGGCCAGTAACACTGCCCTCTACAGCTAAGATGAACAACAGCTCAACCTGGAGCTGGGCTGCCGTGAGTCGCTGGAGATGGTGTAGGCTGCAGCCCCTGTGGCAGTGGGTTGCCATGGGCTACCATGTGTGGCCAGCAGCCAGCGTGAGCGGCCAGCAGCCACAGTGAACGGCTATCCAGAAGCCGGCGACTGATCTGCCTCACCTGGGAAGAGCCCAATGACGGTGCCAACTTGGGCCAGTGAAGTGATGTCCTCCACAACTAGACTGAAGAACAAAAGGACAGCAGCATGTCTGTTCCCCTTCCCCCAATTCCCTAGCGCTGTTCCCATCCCCCAATAAAAATCTTTAAAAAAAAAAGTGATCACCGTGATAAATCCAGCAACCATCTGACACTGTACTATGCTATCACAATATTATTGACCATATTCCTCATGCTGTGTATCTTTCTTCTTTTTGGAAAAATACTTCAATATAATTCTAGGAAAATGATGGCAAACATGTAACAACTCATAGGGTGGACTTTATTATAATATATACCTAAGAGCCGATTTCATTCTATCTTTGGACACATTAACCTAAATCTTGGTTCCTTAACAGTAATTAACTCCAGAATTTTGTAGACAGATTAAGGATTAAATGAAATAATGTATGTAAAGTGCCTAGCGCTGTGCCCAGCACATCAAAAAAGGGTTTGATGAACATCTTCACTTCTGTATAATTACTTCTTTGGGAGCTTTTGGTATTTCAATATGTATAAATTTGGGGGAGCCCAAGAAAAGGGAATGAGTCTTACTCATATTTCATCTCCAGTATTTAGCAATATCCATGGTATAGGTAATAATTTTAATATATATGTTAAAAATGGGAGAATGCTTTAAACTTTAAGAGTGATTAATTTCCGACAGGGTACATTCCTGCTACAAGAAATGATGAGGAATATGAGTATATTGGTTAATCAAATATTCTGGCTAAAGAAGTTATTACTTCTTTATGAGTCACAAATAGTTGACATTTTCAGTTTTCATTTTTTTATGTAGTCTTTCAATTATAAAGTACCTACTATCTATCATGGGCAAGGCAATGTAGAAATAGTTTGTCATGATCCTATACTTCTATAAAATTTATTCTTTAAGTCAGAGACAAATATTATAATTCTATATTTAACAATCGCTATAATGGAGGAATGTACAAAATGTGATGGTTGCTTAGACAGCTGAACACCTCATTCTGCTTGGGAGGAGTGAGAAAAGGTCCAATGGCTTTTGAATTTGAAAAACGAGTCCTAGGTTTCCCAGGCAAACAAGTGGAGAAAGGCACGAAGGCACAGAAACATGGCACATCAAGATGTTATTTGTAGTTCAGGGTAGCTGCAGTGTGAATTGGAGAAGGAAACTAAGAGGGTAGTAAAAACAGATGATTCTGAACAAAGACCAGTTCATGAAGGGCCTTGTATAAAGGGTCATGAAAAGTAGATTTTTATTCAGTAGGATATTGACAATTGAACTACATGGTCCTAGCTCCATGTCAAAAAGCTCATGACAACAGTGTGGAAGCAGAGGCTATACAGAGGCTTTGATAATAGCATATACCAGAAGATGAGGGCTTTAGACAGTTGAGATGGTATGAGATATTATTTCTACAAAAATAATAAATTTTGTGACTCATTTGCTATGGTAAGAGAAAGAATCTAATGAATTCCAACTATCTGGCTTAGGCAATTTGGAGGATAACATATTTGATAGATTGAGTCTTTTGAGAATGTTTATTTCAATTAATGGTTTAATTAAATAGCCTGGTTTAAATGCTTTATCCATCTTCAGCACTATCAGAGTGTAGTTCCAGAATTTCTGTATTGTAGGGGCTTAAGTTGGAAAAGCAGGTTAATAGGACTAATCTTTGTAGCTGAATCTGCAAGATACATAAGATTAAAAAACATAAATTGTCTGATGGGGGCTGATAAATATGGGGCCATAGTCCTATTCCCATTATTCCATCTTCTGGAATAGCACCAAAATCATAATTATCTTTGGTTTTAACGTAATGTCCTATATAAGTTTACCATATTTACACCATGTATTAAGAAGTAATGCCATTCATGGTCATTGCACACATATTCAGTACTCTGAAATGAGAATTCAAACCTTACACATTTATTTTATATTTTAAATTTATTATTCAATACTAATCTAGTGTATTGTGAAAAAAGATACTGAAAAATTCTTAGTAGGTGAAGCATTCCAAAATCTATCAAGGGGTCGAATTTCAAATTGCAACCTCTTTATGCCTTTTTCTCCTTCTGTAAGAAAAGGGATAATAATTTAGCATTGCTGTGAAAAGAAAGTACTTGACACGCAGATGTTCAATACATTTCTTTTGTATGAATTACAAATATAAATCATATATATGCATTGTATCCATCATATGAGGTCTGACAATTAAGTTCGCGAACTCATCCTAGAAAAAGTGCTACATACCTCATTGCTGAATATCACTAAGGTCACCTTCAAAGTACTCCCCTTAGGAAGCTATGCAGACGCCAGCGCCTAGTCCACCCTTCAAAGCAATTTTGGAACTCTTTTTCTGGAATGGCCATCAAAGCTGTCAACATATTACCCTTGATGTCCTGAATGTCATAAAAATGTCTTCCTTTCATATTTCCTTTATCTTTGGGTAAAGAAAGAAGCCATTGGGGGCCAGATCAGGTGAGTAGGGAGGGTGTTCCAATACGGTTATTTGTTTACTCACTAAAAACTCCCTCACAGACAGTGCTGTGTGAGTTGGTGCATTGTCGTGATGCAAGAGCTCCTTCGGGACCATTTTTGCACACACCTTTCTCATGCCAAGATTTTCAGTTAAGATTTTCGTTTCTCTATTGATGTTTACTTGTTCTGCTATGCTTCTCAGTCAGCCGACAATTTTGACACACAATCCAATGAGGTTTTGCAATGTTTTTATCAGTTCTGCTTGTTACTGGCCACCCTGACCTCTTCATCAGTGACGCGTTCTTTCCCCTCAGAAAAACATTTACTTCATTTGTACACTGCCGTTTTATTCATGGCATTATCCCCATAAACTTGGGACTAACATGTCCCTGATTTCACTTTCACTCTTGCCAAGTTTAACAAGAAACTGAATGTTTGTTTGTTCCTCTAATTCAAGCTCAGACATTCTCGTGATGGCACACAAAAACACACAATAATGAACGTCACTCAGCAAGGCACCACCACAGGTCGACAAGAACACAGCTGTGAGACCGATATACCAAGGTTATGAAAACTTACTGAGCTGTTTGTAGTGCTGCCAATGTAAGTGCAGTGGCAAGTTCATGAACTTGTCAGACTTCATAGATACATATCCATAAATCAGATATATGCACACACATACATAATTTATGTATGTAATATGAAGTCTTATAAATAGCCTTGGGAACACTAATAGGCAGTCAGTTCACTTAGAAATGCTCCATTACAGTATATTAATATGCTTCCAAGTCACAAATATTTCAAAGTCTTTATGTAAAAGACATGGTAGATTTTTTTAATATCTTAATTTGGAGAGAGGGTGGCTTAAATAGGACTGAATTTCTTCTCATTGACTTTTCTTTCAGATAATTAATTTTAATAAGTAAAATATCCAAAAAAATCATTGGACTTGAAGCACTTTAAAAGGCTTTACTACCCGTGAGACAGACTGTTGCTAACTAGCGTCTTGCACTTACTCAGCTACAGAGAACCAAGCAGTGGAATGTACCCTTTCCAAGGTTCCAGAATATATTCTAGTTACTTTGACCCCCCAGACTTCATTTTGTTCGCCCACAAAGTGAAAAGTTTGGCCTTATCATTCTCACATCAGGCTGCACAGTAGAGCTCACCAGGACTTTTTGTAAGCAGAGATTCTTATCACTATTCCAGAATTAATGAGTCAGAACTTTAGAGGTGGTTTCCACAAATCCGTATTTTTAATTCCCCAAGTGACTTTGATGTTCACCCAAGGTTTAGGACCAACCAGCCAAGACAATTACTGTAGCCATTTCTTTTTCCTGAAATAGGACTGGTGTTTGGAAGTATATACTCATTTCTATGACCTAATGGCCATTAATCACTTTTGCCCATACATATATATATATTTTTTTTGCTACATTTGTTTTGCACTGGCTCAACAGGTGTGCTGATTAAAAGCTTTAATAAAACAAGAGTAGAAAATATGGTTTATGGTACAACACAATGTATTTTCATAAGATATTATGTGTCAGTAATGCATTTAAATGAAATACAATACTTCAAAACATTCTGCACAAATCTTACAGATCACATTTAATAACAAAATGTCTAGTTCTTTAAGAAAATGTTTTTAAGAACATACTACAATAAAATTTTCAAAACCAAACAAAAATATTAAACAAATTACTGTGTGGTACAGAATATCATAACCTTATTTATGTAACACAGCAGGCAGATTTTGTACTAGAAACAATGGGAGGGGAATCTAAATTAAATAAAATCTTCAGGGAATGGGTATTCATAAATTTCTGGTTAACTGAGGCTTAATTTATTAAGGACCAGGGGGTCTTTGAGCATCAAATATTATTTATAAAAATAAAAACTTCCCCAAACATCTTTGCTTTTCTACCTCAGCAAAGATTTTTTTTTCCTTTATAATTCAGAACCCTGCTGTTCATTTGTCAAATATAGGAACAATATCTGGTTAATTTCTTAAACTTAATTACCAATGTCACCCTTCAGATGATGATTTTGTTGCATTTCCTTATACTTTTTCCCCCCAATGAACCTAAGACCTATGATAGGGAAGATCTTGAAACATGCTTAGATAAAAATTGGTCTTAGAGATACTTTATTCATGAAAAACTCAGCAAGTATGTATCGAAAGCCTACCACATTTCCGGGTCTAGAAAGAGCAAGGCAGACTCAAGGACCCCTTCTAGAGCTCACCTTCTAGAACACAGCTAATCGGGCACTGCTTCTGACTCACTCTGAGCCTTCATTTAATTTTTAAAGATTTGTATAGACTTTGATTTCCTCTGTAAGGGCAAATAAAATTGTCTCTTACACCTATCATTCTTTAGCTTCTCAGGAATTCTGAAATCTGTATGTAGACATGGCCGACACTTTGCTCTCTCCAATTCCCTCTGTTCCTCACGACAATGCTGAGTCTTTTTCCCCTGCACTTCTCCCAACAAAGCCTCTGCCCTTTCGCCTCCCCAGCTGGCTATTTCAGTGACACTCGGCTATGGCCTTCTGCTCCCCTTCATGGTTTTTTGTTCCTTTCCTCCTTACTAGAAGCCTGGTCACCTGTGCTTCCCCATCTTCCCTTTCCTGGCTCCTTGTTCATTTGACTAATCTTAACACTTCCTTAAATGTTGGGCCTTCAGTGAGTATAATTAATCAACATTTCCAGTTAGTATTTTCTTGAGCTTTGTTGTGAACTTTATGTCTCCTTTACAATACTCTCTTCCTGAATGCTACTTAGAAATAGCCTCAGAAAGACAGTGTTTCTTGGGGATTCCTGTTTTAAAGGCTATATTAAAGGAAATGATAAAGGAATGCATAACTCAGTAAAGGATGCTTCCACTTTATTTTCAGTTCTCACCATTACAAGCATTGGATTCTCTGTGGTGTGGGATATCGATTTTACATATAAGGGCTAGATCAAAAAATGCAATTTCTGACTCCTTGATACTCAATTAAAATTCATATGAACACATGAAACTTGAAACTTAAAAAAAAAAAAGTTCAGACAGTTAAGGATTCATGGATATGTCCGTATCCTTTATCTAAACGATATGTAATTAAGAATTCAACTATGTTTTGAGTCTGCAAGTCAGATGCTGTCAAGCAAACTGCCATGTATGATCCAAACTCTTCTTAAAATTTTAACTCAAAGAGAAGGAGAAAGGTTCAATACATTTTTTCCAAATGTTCTCAGAAAGAATGATCAGAAGCATCCTCCAGTAATAAAACACACTGGGATAATGCATTTACTCCAAATGAACTAGCTGCGTGGGCTGTGAGGTAGCAATGAGAGATTAAGATCTTCTGTGGAGATGGTGCCCTCAATGCTAAGAATTCCCTCTTCACAAGAAGAGTGGGAATAACAAGAGACACAGAGTCAAGTCACCTTTCATTATGTCATCAGCCACTGGTGTTTTCATAATATTTTAAATGCCTGATTTCAGTTTCACAACAATGCCAATATTTATTTTGAAAGGTAATCCTATCTTCCAAGGAGCAGATATTAACAACTTCCCACACGATCTCTAGGAATAATTCGCAGTTCTGAACCATGCTTTAGAAAAACATTTCCTACACAAACAAACAAAACATAAAGTTAGGTATTTACAACACAATAAGTTATCCTAACAGTCAAGCAATTAAATACAATAAACAACGTAGTATACAGTAAGTAGGTACAAAGCACAAACATCATCAGAACTCAATTCCATGCTTTTTAAGGCTTGTTTCATCCCACTCAAGTCTTCAGAACCCAACCATATGTCTGAAAATTTTAAATAATATTATCCACAAAAATGCTAACAAATAAACAGCAAATAACAATGTAAATCAATTTAATCATCAATATTTGCTTTAATGCACAATCAGGGTCAGAAAAAATAATGAATCTAAATTATCACAAGTAACAAAAGTTTAGAAACTCTGATCTATTTTGGTTCAATTAACTGTGAGATTTACTTTATGTCCCAAGATGAGCACATTTCAACTTTTAGGGGTAATACAACAGCAACATGTTAAAATAAGCAGTAATTCAAACTAATATAAACTACTGAATGTTTCTAGAGTAAGAAAACAAAAGCTTTAAAACCTAAGTTTAAAGGTGTCTATACAATAAAATGCCTCATGATTTTCAATGAATAACCTCAATTTAATAAAATTATACACTTAAAACAACTGATTTAAGTTTAAAAAATTATAATTTTTAAATCCTTTTTCATTTTCTATATGGCTGAATTTCAATCCCAAGATCTATGAGGACAATATAATTGTGTTATAAGACAGAAGTACTTTAAACAGAATTTAAACATAAATACTGCTCAAGATTGAGGTAACATTATATTAAAGTATGCTTAATTTCAAAACATTATAATTAGGTTCTAAGCCAAAAAGGGTACATCTAAAAAATATAAAACTACCTGTTAAAAACTTGAAGATTACTTTCACTCTGCATTTTGTCAAAACCATCATGCCCATAAGGGTACTATCTTACCTTCAGACTTTTTGTTATGAGTATTAAATACTTTTAATGCTTATTAGTCAGGTTTTCTTTTTGTAGCACAAAGCATGTATAACTGTTACATATAATGAAACAAATTATTATTTAGACAATAGGTAAACACTGCTACAAAATCCCCAAAACAACAGCTATTATCCTGTTAAAATCCTATCCAGTCCAATTAGAATTAAGTATTATTTATTATTATTGACATATATAGTCCCACCCACATCTCTGTGAGTTTTAGACAGATACTCACCAGCAGTCTGTGCAGGATTTATTCCTATTCCATCTAGAAAATTAATTATAAAATCATCTAAGTTATTTCTAAAGGTAAAATGGTTTAATAGTAACAAGAAATTGGCCAAAATGGTGCTACTGTGTATATAGGGATACAAACCAAACAATTTAAATACAAGAATATGAAGGGCAATCTTTCAGGTAAATTCTGTGTTGAAATTCGTTACTATTGTGCATTCATACCACTGAAGGATTACATGAGAACATCTGTCAATGCAATGATCCGATAAGGTCTGCAGAAGATTTTTATTCTATTATGCTATACACAGTGATAAATACAACCAAGAACACCTCAGGCATGTCACTACTCATTTATGTATTGCTCCAGTGCATAAAAATCTTAAGGCCAGGAGAGCCCACAGTCATATAATTCAAGTTCCAGTGATACCTGATAAAGGTTTACAAAACACCTTTCCAAAAGCTATTCATCTGTAAATCTAAAACTTTCTAGAAAACAGGCTAGCTTTCTTTTAAATAGAAACACTTCAAGTGACAACATGCAGAATATTTTAGAAAGAGAAATTTTGTCATATCTAAACTAAACCATGCTACCGCACATTCAACCCATCTTCTCAGTCTATCCTAACTGCATAGGAACCACTCACTCGCACTCATAAATATTACTTTGTATTCTTGAAAAATAGTTAAACTCTCACTGCCATCGTTATTCCTCACCTTACTTTGGTAACTTCTCATAGTAATAGTTCCATCAAACTTAATTATTAATAGTATTTTAAGATATTCAGAATTTAAATTATATATCTAATTAAATAAACTCCTCATTACTACAAGCATATAAGAAAGTTTTCACAGGAAAGCAATTACAAGGTATAGCTAATGTATATTCCTGTTTAACTTCCTAAATTCTAAAGAGATTTACCAATACAACTTTATTAAAAAAAATAAATAAAGTTGTATTGGTAAATGCTTTTAAAATTTAGGAAGTTAAACAGTGAACCTTGTGAAATAAAAGTTATTTTCAGTAATAATCTGGCATGAAGTGATAAGAACATAAGATATTATAAAGTGCTATACTATACCAAAAGCATAAAGAAATTGAAAAGAGCTAATTATGGACAATAACCTTAGTGCTTACAATTATGTGTATCATTTATGTTCATATACATTTTGGGTTTTTTATTTAAGTCAATTTTAATTAATTTGACGTCTTTGAAACAATTTCTAGAATTCTGAGGTAATAGTTTTAAAATGAATTCTTACCATTGGTAATAATAGCACTTGTGGCTGCAGGAACTTTAAACTAAAGGGGAGAAAGAAAAAACAAATTTTATACACACACACACACACACACACACACACACACACACACACACACACACACAGTATGGAAGATGGTTAGCGTACCATGGATAGTGTACATATAATCAATTCTATAACTCTAAAATGTGATTTATCTATTAGGATAAGCAACATCATCAAAAAAAGTGCTACTAGGGCGGCCGAGTGGTGAGTTGGTTAAGAGTCGGCTTGGGAGTGCCAGCTCTGAGCAGAAGGGCCCCGGTTCGGATCCCACATGAGGGCCAGTGACACTGCGCCCTCTACAGCTAAGATGGTGAACAACAGCTCAACCTGGAACTGGGCTGCCAAGAGTTGCTGGCAACGGCAATGGCATAGGCTGCAGTGCTACCGTGAGTGGCCGTCTGACGGTCTGAGCTGCCATGAGCCACCGTGAGTGGCCGTCCGATGGTTGGCGATGGATCTGCCTCAGCCAGGAAGAGAACAATGATCACAATACCAACATGGGCCAGTGAAGCAACATCCTCCACAACTAGACTGAAGAACAAAAGGACAGCAACTTGTCTGTTCCCCTCCTCCAATTCCCCAATAAAATCTTAAAGAAAAAAAAAAGTGCTACTGTACTTTGCTTTATTTTTAAAAACCAATAATCTCTAAATACTACACTTCACTGTATCTATAACACCATGGATTATAAAATGCACCTCGTTTTATGCACTACCAAAAAAAAAAAAATCAGTGCATCTATGACCCAATCAATGTTTACTTTTTCAGACTTAGACATGTTACTTTCATCACATAACATTCTTGCCTAAGCAAAAATAAAAGCAAAACAATTGCTTAGAATATTCCTAAAATTTCTTTGTAGAAACAGTAAGCTCAAACAAATCCTCTCGTTTTTAATGGGAGGCCAACCAAAACTCATATTCCTTCCTCAAAGTCTCCATTAATGTACTGCTGACTTAAATCTCATGGGATGGCAACAGTCTAATTATGCCACTAGGAAATAATGAAGTTAAAGTATATGTAGGTGATGTCAGCAAGACAACATGCAAACAGTGATAGTAAGACTCAACTGATCCACTTTCAGAGATGTAAAACATGTGTTTTCTAAATCAATGAAATGTGGTATGAAACTTATTGGTAGCTGAAAGGTAGGATTCTTCTCTTAATGCTCCAGAGACCAGTGCATTCATGTTCTCATGGTTCATTAATTTATCCAACAAATATTTAGTATGCACTTCTATGCTATGGACAAGTTTTATAGATATTATAGTTTAGTTTTATGATCAAATAAGTTTGGAAAACACTAAGTTATACTAGTATCCTTTTTTTAAAATCTTTTAATATGCTGCTAGTCCAGTTTATTTACAAAAAAGAAACAGTGAATGAAGTGTTTCCCATACTTTTTGGCCACTGATTCCAGTGTTTCATAGAAGTGTGTTTTTTTTCCTTTTGGTGGTTCTAGTAGTTTGGGACTACTACTCTGGGAAATGCTACTCTAGGTATTTATAATGGTCACATATGCATAGTTGAGAAAAACAACTAAAAGCTTATTTTAATAAAGCTTTATGAATTAAAGAATCATATTTTTAAATAAGAACTGAATTATGCATAGGAACCATTACTTGTTTCAGGATTATGTACGTAATAAATAATTTTACCATCTAAAAGGTTGATTCTTAGTTGTAAATGTCCTTTTAAAGATTTGAGAATGTTAAGTAAACCTAATTTACAACAACTTCAGAAATTATTTACAGAGGTTGTAATACTTAAAAAAAAAACCTTTGATCAAATATCCAAATTAATTATAGGACATGTCAGACTTCCCAAACTTGAATATTATAAAGATTCTAGTACCGTACTAAGTATCTTATTCATAGATTATGTACATTTTAAGATAAGCTAGGTATTTTCTTAGTCACACCCATATAGTGGCAACATATTTTATGAACATTAATCAATCATTTTTCCCTTTTCCAGAATGTAGAAGCAATGGTTAAGCTGAAATTTGGGGAATCATCACTAGTGATGTAAAATGTAGTAACTACTATGTTCTTTTATTCTAACTTGCTGACAAGTTTTTTCCTGGATGTAAAGTGTATTTTATGCTTCTCAATTTTCATTTATTTTCTTCCTTAGATCCCGTTAAGTCTTATTTAAGAGGTCATTCACAGGCTCTGCCAACTCACTGCCTAGTTAAATTAACCCAGACATGTATTGGGGAATTTTATTACTTTTATTAAGAGAATTTTACTAGGGATTTAAATCCAGATTCTTGGGTTTGTCAACTCTTGTCACTGAAAGGTTCTATAATGTCATCTGGTGAAAGAAAGGCCTTCTCACTGTTGCCTGAAACTCATAATCCTTCTAAATGTGTAACACCTGTGATTCATAACAGTTATAAGCTATATTCAAACTTTAATATATACTGTTGTGTGAAGTTTGAGTTTATTTTCTACTGCTCATCTGTTAGGATGTTGTTATACTCACACAAGAAGACCAAGGTCACATTATGCCTTAGCCTTATAAAGGACACACTATACAACTGTAACTATAAAATATAATAGATGTTATTTATAGCTTGTGCAGATCTACTTCTTAAATTGGTATGTGTGGAATCCGCTATGCCGCAGACCAGGAATATTTTTTGTTAAGTGATCTGTGCAGCAAAAAGGAATGATGATGTTATATTCACATTTGTTTCCCACCTCTTTTTACTTATTCTTTCTACATGAAGAATAGATAAAAACTGACTATAAACAAGTATCCCACTTTTCAATTTTATTCTGAATGAATGATGTCAGTCATCCCAGACAATGCTTTACAAGGGGCTGAGTGCTGATGAGTTGGGTGATTTTCCATTACTCACTTAAATGCAGAAGATTGTGGGTTAAGTTGGTTTCGTATTTACTTAGTTACTAAAATCATTTTTCCATGAATATAAACTTTTCTGAAGGTTCTGAAACCATAATGTTTAGATTTGAGTTACTCTGTAACAGTACAGCACTTTTAATTTCACAATATTTCAGTAAATGCTATAGTTTTACTCAAAATCAATCAGACAGAAAGGGCAGACATTAACTACACACTCCCACTTTACATATTAAGAAATTTGAGGGAGAGAGAAATTGAGAAGCTTTTCCATGTCACATGGATAGTGAATGACATTTAAAACAGAACCCTAATTCTCCCAAGTCACATCTGGGTGCCATTTCTATCCAAACTACTCTCCCAAGAGTCATGCTTCTGATGATAATTCTGGATGGAAAATTTTTATTTCTTAAAAACAGAAAACACAGGGCCGGCCGTGTGGCACGTTGGTTAAGAGCTGGCTTGGGATGGATCCCACATATGAGGGCCAGTGACACTGCCCTCCACAGCTAAGATGCTGAACAACAGCTCAACCTGGAGCTGGGCTGCTGTGAGTCACCGGCAACGGCGTGGGCTGCAGTCCCTGCTGCAGTGGGTTGCCATGAGCTACCGTGTGTAGCCAGCAACCAGCGTGAGCGGCCAGCAGCCGCTGTGAGCGGCCGTCTAGAAGCCAGCGACTGATCTGCCTCGCCCAGGAAGAACACAATTATGGTGCCAACTTGGGCCAGTGAAGCAACGTCCTCCACAACTAGACTGAAAAACAAAAGGACAGCAATTGTCTATTCCCCTTCTCCCAATTCCCCAGCGCTGTTCCTATCCCCCAATTCCCTAATAAAAATCTTAAAAACAAAACAAAACAAAAAACCCCAGAAAACCCAAACATTAAAAAAACTAGTCACTTTTAAAAACAAATTTTACTGACAGTCTACATACCCATACAGAAAATTTGAAAAATATGATATATTTAAAAAATTGTAATTCTAGAATCAAAAGCAGTAAAAATGAGTATACAGATTATAGTGTGATATGTTGCTGTTTAAAAAAATTTACATATCATTGAACCCTTTCAATTTCAACAAAAATTTTCCTTTTAATTTTCAATGGCTGCATTGAATAGAAATGTCAATTTGTTTAACTCATTCTTCTTATATCTGTCTGTAAGTCATAACTTTCATTCTACTTACATCTGTACGTAAAGCTGAATTTTTTTGATAGCATAAACCTAATAATGAACCCACATGAAGTGGTGGGTCCAAGTACATGCAAAATTTAAAGATTTTTGAGATACACTGCCAAACTGCATTCCGCACAAGTTATTCCAATTTCTACACTTACTTCTTCTGCCGCAAATTTTAAGACTGCTGTGAATGGTGTACTTTCGGGAACACTGAGTCTGCAAGAAGAATTAAAAAGAGTTTTTTTAAAAGCTGGTTTTTTAAAAGCCCTTTGTTCCTTATATCAGCTACTGTAGCAGACCTGAACAAATCTGTCTTTGGAGTCTGAAGGTGGTGTATTTTGACTGCATACTATGTTCATTAACTCCACAATGAAAAAAAGCAATTAGCCTTATATCTGAGATGGTACCCATAGTTCCACTTGAAAATTAATAACCTGTACAGGTGCAGATTTATATAGTTTTAATATTTTGATACAATTAGGTCTAGCACATGGTCTGGTGCTTGTTTCCAGAGGTGGATTTCAAAAAGCTGAATCTCTCCTTAAGTCTTCAGTCCACTTTACCACCTTCAGTCCAAACATCTTTCCACCCAATACAGGAATGTCATCATTTTCATTATAAGAGGCGGCTCTGGGAAGCATCACTGATCATAAATCTTTTCATGAATCTTTCTGTGCACTTTTAATAATCAAGTCCAAAATAGTAGACCAAGTTAATGAAAATGAGAGTTTTCTATGGCAAAATGTGAAGTCATTCTCACAAAACTTTTATGTCATTGTTAAAGGGGTTAATACAATCTGAAATAACATTTTGGAGAATGATGCATGATTTTGTTATTGACTTGAACAGTTTCAAGTATATTATAGATTACTGATAAATGGTCAATCTGTGAATTTTCCAATTTAAAAACTGAAAAAGAATTGACATTATACTGTAAAACAAAAACACCTAAAGGACAGGAAGAGGTTAAAAAGAAGTAAAATAAAAAAATATAATACTCCTAATACAAAATGAATTACAGTGATTAAAGATTAAAAAACAGGTTCTTTTTCAAAGCAGGGAAGAAGAGACTTACAAGGTAACATTTCTCTTTGAAACTTCTCTATTGTCACCACTGTATTATTCTTTAATGCTTTCATACCACCTATCATTATGTAACATTTTCATGTATAGGTCCCATTTCTTCACCTAGTCTATAGATCAGTGAATACAAAAATCATTGTATCTGCCACAGCACATTATAATGATTTCCAGCAAGATAAGTGTGAATAGATTTGTTGGCTGCCCCCATTTTAGTCCTCTAAAATACGACTGAAGGGTGAAATGGATATCATTTTTTTCCTTTCTTTCCTTTTTTGCGGGGGAAGAGAATAAAAACAAAAGTCTCAAGGACAGTCACTTGTTTAAAAATTATCTAATAAATTGGCAATGTAATAGTTTACAAAGTAAGGAACAGCACTGTATTTTTGCATTATACTTACAGTTTAGAACCTGAGATTCACTATCTTGAAGCTTGTTCTCACAAGGTCAACTTCTAAAATCTTAGGGTTTCAATTCACTTTTGAACTGGAGACTAGAAATGTTCTTATAACACATGAATAGATGTCATATTGATATTAAATCAGTGAGACTGTCCAAAGATAATCCCCATAAAGCATAAACTGAAAACATATTTTAATGCCTATTCTAGAGGGCCGGCTGAGTGGCTCAGTTGGTTAAGAGCTCGCTCAAGAGTTTGAGCTCTGAGCAACAGCGGTTCGAGTCAGCCCGAGCTGAGCAGCCGTGAGCTGCCAACAGGTGGCGGGATGGCTCAGCTAAAAAAAAAAAAAAAAAAAAAAAATGCCTATTCTATGTGGCAGAAAATTACAGGCGGTCTGGGAGTTGCTGCTACTCCATAGACTTTATCTAGATTTGAATTTGTTGTGCTTGCCAGTTGTATCATTTTGTAAAATTGGCACTGACATTTTATACTGGTGTTTTGAAAAAATGGGAACTAACCTGTATACTAAAGTGAATTTTAAAATAAATTACTGGCAAAATTTGTTTTTTGTAATATATATTTCATATAAAGAGAACTATGACACAACTTGACAAATACTGTTATAACAAGTAAAAACCATGTTTGAATAGAAAACTAAAGAGTGAGATGAACTCCTTGAATAATTACAGAAATCTTCAGAAGTAAAACTCTGATCATTAAAGGGTGGTGTCTGTCAAGAAGTGCTGTTCACAAGACTGCAATCCCCACACAGAAAAGAACATGTGTAAAAGTGGGAAGGATGAAAAGGACTTGCTTGTCATGGCTGAAGCTTTGTTAAGTGATGGTGGTAGCATGAAAGGGGAGGGAATAAGAGGTAGAAGCAAGACTGGAAAGATTGGAATCAGAATGAAAGAGCCACGGGTGTTTTTTAATTCATCCTTTATATATACACGAAAATGTTTGATTTCAATATATCTATAACCTAGTAGCAATATCAACACTAGTAATATCAACAAACAAAAACTGAAAACTCTGACATTGCCCAGAATAAATTTAGAACTGAAACATCCTTCCTAGAATTCAACTATTAGTAATGTAAGAAAGTTAAAGGAAGTTTTTCTATCAAAGTATATGTGTACCTGCTTGACAAGTGAAAGTGACATTAAAAAGCTAAAGCATGTTTTCCCACAAATCTTAAGAATTGTTTTTACTAGTTACTATTTTCTTTGAATAGGAAACAGCATAATTTTTACATATATAGGTACATATGCTATACATATTTTATACACACACAGGCCCATATATACATTGCACATACACACACAACTACACACAATTGGTATGCCTATTAAATTCATCCTGTCACCAAAATTAGTTGAACTGGTACAATGTTCCAGCCACTCTATTTACAGATACTGATGCTGTCCTACTCTGACCTTTCTCCCTCCCTCCTTCTCACTCTTTTTTTCTAAAGCATATTTACACATTAACGGGAATAATCCAGTATACAGGGGAAACCAAAGATGATGATGAGAGGGGAATCTCTAGACTCTACCTACTTTAATCTTGGGAGGATGAAATACATGCGATCCAGAGCCCAAATGGTACAACAGGCTGTTCACAAGAGCAAAGTTGAGTTTTTTCCACTCTAACAGGGTCATAGACAGAAATTACAGGTTTATAGATATAGTGTAGTTTTATAAATGGGATGGAAAGATGAGAAAGTTTTACTCTGATGGCCTGAGACAAATGGGGAAAGGAACTGTGGAAAGTGTGAAGATACATTTTTCAAAAATCATCTCAGAGAATAAAGAGGAAAATAAGCAAATTTGGGAAATGTAGCAGAGCGTTGTCATGAATTTTACGTAAAACCCATCAGCCTAATTGTGTGCTTTTCTCCAGGGACAATCAGCTATGCAGAGAGAACCCAGGGGTTGAGTTCAGAGCTGGTGTTTCACCAAGTGCTTGGGGTGAAATATACCGGGGTGGGGGAGGCGCAAGTGGGGTATCCTAGTTGAGGGTGTTTGCGAGAGAGAGACTTAAAGATGGACCATGGACTCTGAGCTGGGTAAGAACGAAAGCAGCTGGGCTAAGGCATGGGGGAGAGAGTAGTGATAAGTGTAAAAAAGCAGTCTCATCAGTGAATTATAAGAAACACTTTTACAGAAGAAACACTAGAGTAAATCAGCTGTAGGAAGAGAATGCGGTTAGCCATGAGAGTGCTCGAAAATGACATTTTAGAGGTGGGGCAATTGAAACAAGGTGAAGAGATTCATCTGGAGAGGAACCCATGAAGAGAGCAAAAGGTCAGGAGGTTGCACGGGTCACAGACAGCTAAGTCAGTGAGACTGATAACAGCTGTTATAGCTCAGTCAGGTAGGCCACCATACTGTTTATTATTAATTAATAAATATTTATTATGCATAAAGTCCTGAAGTCCTGCTCTTTGCTACATTTCACATGACTTCCAGCTGCAATAACCTCAATGTGTACCTACCATCACAGAAAGATCCAGGTGAGACCCATGTTAACTGCTAGAGGATAAGAAAGGCCCCGCGTGAATAAACGGCCCTATTTCTGCATTTCCAATTTCTGCTATCACGTTTTACTAAAATCCAACTTAATTAGGATCCGAGTTGAGGCTCATTACTTTGCGATGCATGGCTGGTGAGTCACACTCACACAAAAATCAGAAGCCTGACAGTAGTAAAAACGTTCGCGTAAATCGCGAGCAGGCAGGGGCTGTTTATGAATGCCAATAATCGCCAGAGCCTTGTCCACACGTCCTCCCGCTCCATCTCCCACCAAGTGAGTTCCGAGGGCAGGTCACAGATCAGCAGCAACGTCTGGTCACACACCCCCCCTACACCCTCGCGCAGAGCAAGCTGACACTCAGAGGAGCAGGCGCGGGATCTGTCCTCTCAGGTGGGAGGGAGGAGGAGGGGCGCTCCCGCCAGGACGCGGGCGGGGGTGCAGAGAGGGAAGGAGGTCGGCTGCGGGGGTGGGAGTTGTAGGGGAGGCTCGGATCCACCCAGCCTACACCCGCTCGGTCGCTTCGAGGCTCGCCGCGGTGGAGCTACTCACACTTTGTACGGCAGCCGCGGGTCGGACGTCAGCGTGATCTTAAAGGAAACCTTCGACCTGAGGAAGAGAGCGGGAGAGCGTTAGGTCGGGCAGCGGGATGGAGGACTGGGGCAGCTGTGGGCAAACGCTTACATGGTGCGGCCGGTAGGAACACAGACCACACGCCAAGGGGCCCCAGCAGACCCACTTCCGCCGCAGGGCCCGGGACTGCGCCGCCTCACTCAAGTCCACGTCTCCCTCGGCAAAGCGGGGGCCTCCAAAGTTGCTGTTGTCCAAGGCAATGCCTGCAAGTCGGCCTCAGATGCTCATGCTGAGCGGAGCCTCCAAGTGACAAATAGGCATTGATTTTGCATTTGTATTTCTGAGAAGAACGTATGGATCGTATGGAATGAATTAGTTTTCTAAATGCACGTATTTGCTGCCCTATTTTTGTCAGGCAGCACAAGCGCTGGAACAGGCAGTAGGACCCTTGGTGTCCTCCGGCCGGTTGGGGCGGAAGTTTGTGTCCCAGGAAGGCGGTGAAGACCGAGGGGCGGGGAGGTGGGCGGGACTGGGGGGGCGGACGCTCTTCGAAGTTGCTAAGGCAACCTGCGAGCAGAAAAGTTCCATTGAGACTTGAGAAGCTGGAATTTTCGCCTTGCTTTAGTATTAGTAGTCTTTTGCCTTTCCATTTCACCCAATCCTGTTTTATCGTTTAGATTTCTCATAGTTTTTCCTTTGCACTTTACGATACTGCTGTCTTATTTAATTTCAACAGATGAGAGTTATCATATTGGTGAGAAAGACAAGGTGCCTGCACTTGGGCAACTTGAAGTCTAATTGGGAAGAGCAGCACATTCACAGGCGATTTCAATAGTTTGTTATGTGGTTTACTAGGGTTAAACCAGAGCACTAAGTTGCGGATCTTCAGCCACACTTACTCAGTTTAACAACACACTTTTAATCCTGTCTGTTCCAAGTACTGAAGCTACACTCTAGGGATGCTAGGATGAGTAAGAACAGTCAGAAGTTCTTGTGCAGTGAGGGAAGAAGACTATATGTCCTCTAAATTTTATTACAAGTCTAAGACTGTAATGCCCTCAGGGTTCATCCATGTTGTTGCAAATGGTAAGATTTCATTCTTTTTTATAACTGAGTAGTATTCCATTTGTGTATGTGTAGAGATCAGATTTTTAATGGATATTATATATTTTTTTACAATAACATTCTTTTAATGAAGATTAAAAATCAAGGAAATATTACAAAGAAAAAAATAACAAGGACAAATTTACATAGCTTTGATACTTCATGAGTTATAATTAGATTTTTCTCTAAGTTTATACAGTAATAATTAAATAAATCCATTCATTTATACAAAAGAAACACCCTCACACAGTAGAGTCTCATAATGCTATGGTGAACACCAATTTGATGCTTTAGGACTTTAATATGCCGTTAACAAATTTTCAAACTCAAGCAAGTTTGGAAATGTCTTCATACTGAATTCCTTCAACTCTGCGTCCTTTTAAAGGGCCAGTTTCAATGACTATAGTAGCTGAAAAGGTCTTCTCATTGATGGATTCTAAGGTACCTTCATTTCCTCTGTAGCCTCCGTTTAAAACGAGAATTCTTTTTCCTGGTGCAGGAATTACTGTTTCTAAATGAGTCTGGTCAAGTTTCAGCTTGTCTCCAGAATCAATCATCTTTACGACAGCCGTGTATTTGTCAATCACTTCCTTAACAATGCCTTTTTTCTTATGATATTTCTCTCCAAGTTTTTTGGTTATAATTTTCACGATGATTTCGGGCTGCAGCCAGTAGTCAGTTCGGGAAGCCCTTTTCTTTCCCTCTTCAATCTCCATGATTTCATCGAGCGCAGACTTCTTTTTCTTCTTTTCTTTTGGTTGAGCTGAGCTATGGGAAGACTCTTTCCCTTTCACCGATTTTGTGGTCTCTATCATCTTCAGTGCACTTGGTCCCAAAGAACTTGACTTGGAAGATGCTGCCGCTGAAGCACACGCTCCTTTATTCAAATTGAATGTAACTTTTTCTTCTTCATTTTCTCTGCTTAATTCCGTAAAACTAGGGACCTCCTGTTCTTTGCCTTCCAGACCTCTTCTCACTTGCTCTTCAATAAATCTGGCAGTTTTTCCTTCGTCATCAAGGTCCTGCTTCTTCTTTTTCTCCAGTTCCAGCTGCCGACGGATGGTTTCTGGGTCCCTGTCTATGTACTGAATATACCAGCCCTTTGGTGTCTCATCCACTTTGCACAAACCTTCTCTGCCCAGCCACTTGGTAAAATCTGTCAGAGTCTCCCACTGAGTGGCATTCATGTGGATGTGCTCTCGGTGGCTGATGTACTCATTGTAAACAATATTGTTGTGAACTCTTTTAGTGCCAAAGCAGCGTCTCCTGAGAAGTTCTAGAAAGTCATTGCAGAATTCCTCTGAAAAGTAATCCATAAACTGCTGAGGATTTTCTGAAGCCAGCAATAGTTGTCTCTGATGAGATTCGGACATACAATGACACTTAAAGCCATTCTCATCCCTGCACTGCTTCTGGCACATCTGGCAATACCAGGGCAGCTTCTGAAGCCCTTTGGATTTGATTCTGTTTGGCGATGGCCTTAGGGGTAAGGAAATCTGACTTCCCCATCGCAACCACCGCGGTGATTACTTTTTGGAACCCAGTGCTCTGCCAACTGGAAGCCTTATATTACATTCTTAAGGAGAGATATTTAAGAGAGAAATAGGGAAGTAAATGTAGTGGGAATTCTGAAGACCAGTTTCATCTTTGCCATAATTTTGCAGCAAACTGATCTTTTATGGTCACATCTGCCCATGGAAAGAATGCTGATTTTGACTAGGAAAGCAAGGTTCCAACATTCTTATAATAGTCCTTGTCTTCACTTTTAAAAATGTACAGATCTTGCCATATATAGAAAGATGGAGGCAAATGGTGATTGCTAGATTTTGGGATCAACAGTTTTAGTATTAATAGCTGAAACAATGGGAGTAGTTGGTGTTACTAAAATTTTTGAGAATCAAATTAGGAGAAAACTGATTGTGATTATCTGCTATCAAATAACAATGAAGAGATTTCTGCTCCTATAAAAACATATGGCAAAAACCTAAAAAGAAAAACATATTTAGATCAGAAAGTTTTTAGTATGTATAAAAAGTAGTGAAGACAAGATTCAACCTCAGGCAGTGTGACTTCAGTACTCATATCTGCTGTCTCTTCAGAAAATATATTAATATAATACGTTATATCAGAATGACAAAGGGAAACATTGTGTTCCCAAGAGAAATTATGAGCTACCTATTACTAAATATTTAGCATTCTTCCCCACCTCAATCCCCTAATTCTCCTCCGCTATATGTTTGTCTTCGCTTTCACTGCATAATTTCTAGAACCTTCTAAGTTTTATTTTTCTTAGAAAAATAAAATAAATTATAAACGGATTCATCAATACCCAGTATTTTAGTTATTTAGCTTTACTAAGGCATTTAGCAAAATTTGGCAAATATAATAAGAGAAAAACCTTATTACTTACTGAGAACTTAAAGTGCTGAAGTATATTTAATGACTGACTGTAAACAAAATCAAATTCTGGATTTTAGGGGGTAATTGGCAAATATAACATTTTAAGGCAACAGCATAAATAGCCTAATGTGTTTTGGAAGGGATCCAATTAGTATTACATACAGACAGAAATGATCGGTAAAGTGCACAGTGTGACCATGTTAGAACTCGTTAAATGTCAGTGTAACATACCAATATTCTGCTTGCAAAAATATATAAATTTCTCATTATTAGAAGATAATTGAGGGAAATTAAATTTATATAAGGACTAAGAAGATTTGCTTACATAGTTGTAAAGATTCTTTCCAGTTATTTCTGTAACTAGCTTTAAATAAAATAGAAACCGTGGCAGATTTGGATGCAAAAAAAATTCTCTTCCTAACTTTTTTACCTTGGTTTGACTGTATTTATGACTTTGGTTAAAATCACCAGATAAATTATGTAATCCTGGAAGGTTTACACTGGGATATAAATCTTATAATCTTATACTCCAGACACTTCATAATATAGGAAATAAATTGTAGCTTGATTAATTAATAATAAATGAATATTTTTATTGTAGTTTAATTTGGTCATTTTTCTCTATTATCTTTCCTCCCCCTACAATCCTATAAGGGGCATTAATACCATTGGGGCAATTATAATAATAATGGCTGAAATTGTATCAAGATTTATTTTGTGCTAAGTATGTTAAGCATTTAGTATAAGTGGAATCAGAAAATATAGACTTTAAACTTTGATCTTGGCTATCAGTTATAATTCAATGACAACAGCCTTATGCAAAGAGAAGAGTTGATCTGGTAGACAGAAGTACATGGGAATATAGAAATGCCGTGGTGATCCTAAGGTAAGAGCTTAGGATCAGGTTAAGGTTAAAGAGTGTTCACATCCCTGTGAGTCCAAAAACAATGAAATGTAGGTGAGATTAGAGCCTAGCAAGGCTAGGTAAAGACCTTTGAGGAGATTACAGCTCTAAATGTGTTGCACCTGATTATTGTTGTTAACTAACATTCCCAAATAGTTCTGAAATTTATTGAGAAAACAAAACAAACAAACAAACAGCTTTTCTAGGATGGTCGTTGTTTGACTATAAACCTTGTAAATATGAGACTTAATTACATGACTTGCAATATTTAACTATAGAATTTGTAAAATACCTTTATTATGAGAAAGCATTTTAAAGTATAAAAAAGCAAGAGTATGCTATTCTTTTTTTTTTAATATTTTTATTGGGGAGTTGGGGGATGGGAACAGCGCTGGGGAATTGGCGGAAGGGGAACAGTCATGCTGCTGTCCTTTTGTTCTTCATTCTAGTTGTGGAGGTAGTTGCTTCACTGGCCCAAGTTGGCACCATCATTGCCCTCTTCCCTGGTGAGGCAGATCAGTCGCCTGCTTCTGGACGGCCGCTCACTGCGGCTGTTGGCTGCTCACGCTGGCTGCTGGCTACACACGGTAGCCCATGGCAACCCACTGCAGCAGGGGCTGCAGCCTACGCCATCACCGGCGACTCACGGCAGCCCAGCTCCAGGTTGAGGTGTTGTTCAGCATCTTAGTTGTAGAGGGCAGTGTCACTGGCCCTCATATGTGGGATCCGAACCACGGCCCTCTGGCATCCCAAGCCAGCTCTTAACCAACGTGCCACTCGGCTGGCCCAAGAGTATGCCATTCTTGTATAATT